AGGAGACAAGTCTGAAATTGCTCAAATGAAAATTACACACACTGTGGTGAAGGGTATATTCATAACATAATATAAGCCTAGAGGCTCAAAGGCTATATTTAATATAAAGGTTTTGATAGAATGAGAAAACTTAAATATAGGCTAACTAGTTAGTGGTGCCAGATTACATTTCCTAGATTAAGTCGCTAGTACATCTAGATCTAACATTAATGTTAGACCTGTTATTTCCATATTTTTAGTCTTAGGTTTGGATCTAGATATGATAATAATAATAACAGAAATTTAGCTTTATACATCTAAACTAGACCTTAGATTTGGGTGCATAGATTGGAAGCACCTTGTATTGAATCTACCCAGATCTAGATATAACCCTGCTTCATCAATTCTAGATTTAGATTTATTAGGCCTAACTTTTAGAACAAATGTTACATCTAGATCTATTAACTTAGTCATTAGATCTGTCCCAGTGCCATGCCTAGTTTAATAGTTAGTATAGGTTTAAGTATGCCTATAATGTAAGCTACAATTTGTATGATGATGGACCTAGGGTCTAGAAATAAAGTTATAACTGCAATTACACCTAAAGTCTAGTACATTAGTTGGTGTAAGAAATGATTTACAATCAGCTAATACAATTACAAACCACTACATTAGACCTATAATGTTTAGTCCAAAACATGGCAACATTGGGAATTTGGTTGTCCAGTCTGTGGTAGGAGGAGGGTACACAGCCTTATACAAGAGGGAAGGCATGTGTCTCATCCAGCTACAACCAACCCATTCAGTGGACAGTAGGAAGATTAACCACAATTTTGGGGTTGCATCTCCAGTCCAAAACATGGCAACATTGGAAATTCATTGTCCAGACTACAGTAGGAGGAGGACACCAGCAAAACATGTGAGAATTTATGTGGCTGAACCATAACTGACCAATGCCCAACCCATAAGAACCAACAGTGGAGGTCAGTAGGATAGGAGGAATATCTCAGCCAGAGGGGCAAACTGAATCTGTTAATTTATATATATGGTGGAGTGCTACATTCAACACTTGGTGGCATCTGGAATTGTACATCAGGTCTGTGGTAGGATAAGCGTTAAACACCACAGATCATCAGAGATGGGCAGCAATCCTTGTCTGCTTTACTCGTGTTAGTCCATGAGTGTACGGTCTGGGATGAACATACTTATGAAGCAATAAACTGCAAGGTACACCTACAAGTGGTCCTAGTAGAACACCCCATCTCAACAGTGGGCAGAAAATGACCTGGTGACATCTTATTTTGACTTCTTTAACATTTTATATAGATGCATAGAGGACATATTGGACAGATTCAATCAACCAACACTTGGCAGCATCTGGAATGGTACATAAGGTCTGCAGGAGGAAGACTCAACATCACACTCAAGAAACAGAACAAAAACATAAAATAACTTAACTGAAGGAGAAATTCATGAAAGTAAAAAATATGCTGATAGGTTAATTAAACTGAGAGTGAAAACCTTTAATCAGTAGGACTGCCAATCAAGAACTGATTAAGATGAGCATAATTAGAGAGGGCACAAGTTACGATAAAGGTAGTATCACACTCCTACTGGTGGAGGGTTGCTGCATGAACATTTGCATGTTAATATGCAGTAATAAGTGGGAGTAACAAATATAGTGGCAAGCGAAAAGTTACACCAATAAAGAGCAGTACAAGTCAAGAAAGCTTTTTGTGAGAGTAAGTAAGATATCGTATCCAAAATATCAATCCTAAAATACATTTGTATTAAAATTCTTGAAACAGAATTCAATTATTATTTTTACTTAGATTTTGAAATTTCATATGCAGTATTGATCACCTGAAAGTTTACATTTTCCTATACTGCAAATGTATTTCTGATAATACTTACCTCCTCTCACACTTAAGTTTTATCCCGACAACAGTTTCTCTTCTTTGCCCATCTAAGCATAGGTACGAATTCTACCTCACTTGCCCCAGTTTTTATACCCCACTATATCACTCCTACTGATTTTAATCTTGTGACTGTCTCCATCTACGCCAATGCATGTTCTATACCTGATCCATATATAAGCTCCCCATTATTCTTTTTCACTTTTTCAATCTTGGCAAGATTATCAAATCCAAAAACTAGCTATCATGGGGAGGAAGAGTGGGATAGTGTGATAAGAGGTAAGAATTATCGGAAATACATTTTCAGTATAGGAAAATGTAAACTTCTGAAACATACTTACCTCCACTTTAGCTAGAAACCCACAATGACAAGGTCAATGGACAGGTAAGGGCAAGATTGACACAGAAAGTGTCTGCAATGAAAAAATAGATGTGCAAAATAGAGATATAATAAAGCACTCTAGTGGGGGGGGGGTCCACAACTTCTGGAACAGCTATGCTCTTCACCCACAGAAAGGGAAATCTCTATGTGGGTGGTAAAGGCTAACTGACTAAATAGCTAATATTGTT